AAAGAATCGTTGTCTACAAAAGTTGAAATTTTTTTTAAAAGGTTGCGGAAGAACGTTATACGATTTTCCAACAATGCCAACACCGGTTTTCAATGAAGAGGAAATTGACAACACGAATAGACTAATCTGTGAAGAATTGCGTTATAATAGGTGCTCTTTGTCTAAGGAACATGAAGAATTATTGGTTAAATTGACGATGGAGAAAAAGTTAGTTTATGACAGAATTATCAAAGCAGTGCATGAGGACAAAGGTGGATTCTTCTTTTTATATGGTCATGGAGGAACCGGGAAGAGATTTATTTGGAGAACTTTGTCTTCTGCCATAAGATCTAAAGGAGATATTGTGTTAACAGTTGCATCCAACGGAATTGTTTCTCTTTTGTTACCAGGAGGCCGAACAGCTCATTCGAGATTTGCAATCCCACTCAATGCAACTGAAAATTCAACATGTAATATCAAACAAGGTACTCCTTTATCAAAATTGATTGTCAAGGCAAAGTTAATTATTTGGGATGAAGCACCAATGATGCATAGATATTGTTTTGAAGCTCTAGACAGAACTCTAAGAGATATTCTTAGATTTAAAGATGCAACCAATTTAGATCGTCCATTTGGAGGAAAAACCGTTGTTCTTGGTGGTGATTTTAGACAAATACTTCCAGTCATTCCAAAAGGTACTAGACAAGATATTGTTAATGCTACCCTTAATTCTTCATATTTGTGGAATCACTGTCAAGTCTTAAAGCTATCAAAAAATATGAGGTTGGAAGGAAATCAGGTGGATTCACATTTGAATGATCTAAGACAATTTTCTGATTGGATTTTAGCAATAGGTGATGGTATGCTTGGAAATTCTGTTGATGGTATCGATAAAGTTCACATCCCTGATGATCTTATCATAAATGATTGTGGTGATCCAATTTCTGCGATTGTGGAAACTACATATCCAGATTTTTTAAGTCATTGCAGTGATTTAACATACCTGCAACAAAGAGGAATTCTTGCTCCCACTCTTGACATGGTTGAATCAATCAACGAATACATGGTTTCACTAAACAAAAGTCAACCAAAAACATTTTTTAGTTCCGATACAATTTGCATGTCAGACGATGCTTTTACAGGTTTGGAACACGTACATACACCTGAATTCCTAAACACTATTAAGTGTTCTGGAATTCCAAATCATGTTATCACTTTGAAAGTGGGTGTCCCAGTGATGTTATTGAGAAATATAGACCCATCTTCAGGGCTATGTAATGGAACAAGATTAATCATCACTAGACTCGGAAATCGAGTTATTGAAGCAAAAATTTTATCGGGAAATATGGCTGGACAAAAGGTCTTCATTCCGAGAATGTCATTAACTCCATCTGATGCAAGAATACCTTTTAAATTCCAACGAAGACAATTTTCAATAGTTGTATCCTTTGCAATGACGATAAACAAAAGTCAAGGACAATCTTTATCTCATGTTGGGTTATATTTGAAAAAATCGGTATTCACACATGGCCAGCTTTACGTTGCTCTATCACGGGTTACAAAAAGAAAGGGATTAAAGATTTTGGTTTATGACGATGATGGACAAATTTCAAATAAAGCAATAAATGTGGTTTACAAAGAGGTTTTCCGTAATTTACTTGGAGAATGATAGCAAATCTGATATATTTTCGGAACAATTTTGGTTGTCATGCTTCTGTCTTTGCTAAACCATATTGGAAATAATCTTCAGAAACAATAGTTGACAACTTCAATTGGTAAGCTTAACTTTTATCTCATCATCATTTGTTGTTACTATTTTCAGTTACTTTGAAGTATTAACTTCTTAATGTTTACATCTACTAACAAATAACTCGCAAAGATATATTTCTTCCAATAATATACGCTACTTCAATTCTATCCTTCCTAATGATGTCATTTGATTTCAAGTTTTTTTAGCGCTTATGCAAAATATGGCTACTCACATTTTTTCCATTAAGGATATAACAATTTCGAGGATGCAACAGATGTTTAAATGTCGAGTTGTTCGTCTATGGGAAGCCCTGGATTGTTACAATTCATACACTTATTTCTCCTTTGAATTGGTTCTACAAGATGAAAAGGTATTACAAATCAATTTCTTTTACTTACAACTATTTTGCATCTTTAATTTTAAATAGCAAATTCTGCAATTGTTGTTATGCTGGTCACGAATTTTTAAACCTACTTTCTTGATTGGTTGTAGAATATTTCAATATACTACAACAATTCACTTTTGGTTCTTCCAATATTTGGATTAATAGTTAAAATATATAACGGACATAATCTGGATACTTATATAATCTTTAACGACTTCTTTACTTAGCTAAAGGAGTTTCAGTGTAATTTCTTGCTCTCCCATCTTTGTAAAGAAATGAATTATTTTTGCACTTTCTCGGTACTATTCACTAAAGGTACTTCTTTGCTTATCAAACTGAAAAGGATGATGGCTTTTCTCAGTATACTAATTTTACTGTTTTTTTCTGTTTCTTTGGAAAATACTCTCAATTTATTTTGACACTTGCACTTTTTTCCAATTTGTTTAAGTAGATATCCTCTTTTTATTTAAAAACTGTATTTTCTATGGCTTGCATTAATTATGTTTTCCGCAATATTAATAAATAATTATCTCACAAAGTTGTCTCATAAGAAGTTGTATTTTAATTATTCTGTCATGCTAAATTCTCTTTAAAATATACATTCTCTTCAAGGGACCTACATCAAATTCTGAATCAAATTATAGTTAGTTGAACTGGTCTACTGCTTCAACATTTACCGAAAAAGGAATGATAAACGGTTATAAATCTGCCATAATAACAGCTCAGGTTAGTTAAAAGTTCGAAACTTTCTCATCGGATTACATGCTATGTCCACGTTTTCTTTATTTTTTCTGAGAATGTAACCTTCTATTTCTATTTTGATACTTACCCATTCTCTCTTTGTCGCTGTGTTTTTTCTTTTGTTCAGTTTCTTAATATTATTATTTCCTTTCATTGCTTCAGTGATTTGCACCTTTGCACATGTTGTCCGTCTTTATTCCACTTATTACTTATGCTTTTACATTAATTGAATCCTGTTAACTTTTTGCCTATTTCTCTAATTTATGCCTTCTTTATAATCTCTACCTATTTTTATGGAAATAATATTGAAAATACCAAATTCTATTATTACCAGAGATAAAATATCAAAAATGTCGTTCTCCGTAGTTAAGTTATGATTTGTTCGTTCTAACTTCACCTATATTTATCTATTCAATGTGATTTCTTTTTAGGCGATCGGATACAATCTTCTATTGGCATGTCCGTGCTGCTTCATTTGAAAACACAACGTAATTACTTTGGATTATATGTTATAGTGAACTTTGCGTTTGTCAAAAAAAATACAACTTCATAACAACACAAAATTAACTTAAGCCTCACATTTAATCAGCGAACAACCTTGACCGATCTTCCACTACAAAACTACATCCTACATTATTTTTCTTTATTTTTTTTAATGTGGCTTCTGGTAATGTCGTTGATAGTGCAGCAAACAGAATGGGCCATTGTCAACTCACGTTCATTCTTCACCTTTTCAATAACTTGCTTTACCCCATGTTGCCCCTTTCCAGCCAGACCATACACATATGCTCGACCAATTTGGAGGTATATTGTTTTGGATTACAGGAAAGGGAAAATCTAATGATTAACAAACTAGAAAAGTTTAGGTAAGAACTTTCAAATTAGTTTACTACAACAGCTTTTGCGCCAAGTGGTAAGGCCTTCAATATGTCTGTTCCTCGCCTCACTCCTGCATGAAATATAACTGGAACTTTATCTTCAACAGCATGTAAAACCTTAAGCCATTGAAGATTAAGAACAATTATGTGATTCCCATTGTGTTTCAAATCCAAATTTTGCTTACATATGCAAATGTTTAGAGTTGTGAATTTTAAAGAAATAGGACCAAATCCCTCCATCCAAAATAGTCTATTTTATTAATTCTGATGACATATATGACTCTTGCACGACTACCTTGATATTAAAGGGAAATCACATATTAATACATGTATAAACACATTGTAGTAGGCTTCTCTGTTTCAGAATAGAGTCAATCTATCTTCTCTTAACAGCAGAGTGTTAGAAGTTATTTTTTGTCAATGTGAGCAGTAACCTTAATTTTATTGTGTGGCTGCTACAAAATTTACTCCTTACTTGAGATATCTTTGCATCAGTTTGGTATCTTTAAAAATTTACTTCTATATTTGATATAATGGCTAGACGATAGCTTGATTTGGCATATCATAGAGAATAAGGATTGGGAGTTATGCATTTGCATAAGTAATTACATGTATGCAATATTATTATTTTCACATCAACGAAAGTAATTACCTGTGTCATTAGGTATTTAGTTTTGGTATTTTTATTTATGAGCTGGAAGTAGCAGTGTTTTGGAATTTTTTAGAAGATGTTTTTGGGCTTGGTTTATGTGTGTTTCATGGATATTTGCAGGTTGTTTTTCTGGTGCGTTTTGGAAGGATTTAACTGCATTTTTGGATGATTTTCAGAACTTACGGGGGCTGTTTTCAATTTTTTAATGCTGCCATTTCACGATTACGCTTATTGCCAAAGAAAACAATGGCTTAACATCTTGATGAAAATACTAAAGCACCTGTTAAACAAAGCTAAACGCTCAACGTGTTTTGAGCCTCGCTTTAAGCCTTTAGCGCGCCTTTGATAACTTTAGTCTTATGGTGGTCTCTGTTTTTGGTTTGACACATCCTACCCTATCTGCCGCCCAAAATTTATGTACCACAGCTTATATAGATACTTCTCTTTGGATATTATGTAATGTGTTTCTGCTTCTGTTTATGAGAGCGTCTTATTATTTCTGATTGAGCACAACTTCTGCGTCATAATAAACTATTTGCTGCTACATCTCCATCTTCCACATTTTGAATTATACTATAAAATGGCACACCATCAATAACTTCATACAATTTGTGCAGTTTAAATTTATTATGTTAATGTTTTATTATCGGCATTCTATGTTTCCTCTCAATAGTTGTGGTAATCATGTATGGACAGCAGTAAAGACGTTAAGATTGACTGCTTCATTAGCTTGTCTTAGCTTCTCCAGTTTTATGATCTACACATCTCTCCTCTCACTAATAAGGAACTCAAGTTTCATGCTGAGTATTAACAATTAAAAGGAGATGGTAGGGACTATCCGAATGCAAAAAGGCCTGCACAACAGTTGGTAGAAGCTTCAGTACAAGATCAAAGTATTGGGCAGAATAATTTATTACAGTTGCAAGCTGGTGATCAACAAGCTGCTGCTGATGCTAATATCCCTGATGGTGCACAGCTTCTCAACAATTATGCAATCTCAAAGAATTTTGCTATTGTTCCTGTTGATAGAAGTGATGCTACTAATCACTTCCCCACGTTTTCAACCCTCTACTTCACATCTCCCTTCACAATTCCTCCCCACTTGCCCACTATAACCACTTCCCCACTATACTAATCCCATGATATTATAAAAGCACATAATAAGGGAGGATTTAAAACAAAAAAATTCAGAGAACAACGAAAATCAGAGGTTCTTCCAACAATATTACGTTCAAAAAAATATTCAGCAAAATCAACATAGCCTCAAGTCTGTAAATTTTCTCCCGATAGCAACGGTATGAAATATATGATTTGTACCTTAGCAGAAGTTCAAAAAAAAGTTTATCACTTCAGCAGTTAGAGCAAGAAGTTTCTACAACATTTTAGTATTTTTAGTTTGTTTTATTAGCGTATGTATAATATATTTCAAAGTCAGACATGAGTATACACATTCTATTCACATTTAATTCTGTTGGTTGATGGAGTTTTGTGGCGATAAATCAACATATAGACCTTCTGTTTTTTATCTAATTCATTCGAATCCGGTATGGTCTTTTTCAAATAACTATTTTTTCTATTTGTTGGTTACCGAGTATCTATTTGGTATAACGGTTTTGGAATAACTGTTTTTTTATTGCAATATAGTATAGTATCATGGAAATGAATATACAAAATTCTATATCTACTACAGAGCAACTTTCAAAATAATATGCATGTACTATGTTATCACATTGACATGTTGTAGCTATTCTTATTCTTTCTTTAGTCCTATTTCAGATATGAATGAACAAGGACACGTTCAAATTACTCCAACTACGACTGCTCAAATTCAACAAAGGGTACAACGTCGAAGGGTACACCGTCGCAACATTTTTTCCTATAATGCTTCTGACTCAAAGCCTGAAATTATAAGGAATATCCCAAGGTCGATACAAAATAACTTAAGAGATCGAAGGGCTGAACGAAGGGAAAGAGAAAAGAAATTTACAGAGCTTAGGCCTGCACTAGATGAACATATTGCAAATTATCAGTTTACTCGAGATGCACTAATTGATGCTATAGACAAAATTATACTATATGATTGGGAAGCCTTATCAATTTTAGTAGATTCACTTGGACAACCTTTAGGTAGTATTTTAACTGACATTTATCACGAGGTTTGGCCAAGTGAACCTTTTTGGGTTTATGTTGTTAAATTTGAAGCTGAGTGGGAGAATCGTTTCTACGATTACCTGTAATTTTTTAAATTAATCAAAGTTTTTTA